GGAAATTTGCATTTTAAAAAGACAGGGAAATTTGATGGAGTACCTCAAAGTTTGATGCAAAAAAGCATGATCGCACCGGCCCGCCTGGTGCGTTCCAGCCTGGGTTTAATTACACTGGAAATTAATAATTATGTATCAGGTTGTTCAAGAATCCTTGAGACCGCATTTGCTTTACAGGAATCATATTAATAGATTTCCTCCTCCTTCCTATAACTTATCAAGTAAAGATTTGTTTGAAAAAGCTAAACTTTTGAAAAAAAACTTGCTGATTTGCATCACATGTTGCTACTTTCAGCATCATGGGATAATCGCAAGTTTGGTAACAATTATTGTATTACATCCGTATCGAAAGGCATTTCTTTCGATGATACGCCTGCGAACGAACAGAAGCAAAATTCGCGATGTGAAAATGGCAAACTGCAATTTGCTTACTGCAACTTCGCGCAATCATCAAACGGTGCAGCCAAATAATGCCAGAACAAGTGGCTTCACACCAAAATGCGCCAAATGGGACAGTAGTCAGCAGGAACCCAAAAAGTTATGTGAACCAGGACCTGCGTTCAAACTAGCATCTATAAATCAACACATGTTACCGACTGCTTGTGAACCTCCGGTAAGAAGAGCCACTCGCTGAACCGTCTAGGATTTTTTCAAGAAGAAACATGGCACCTTTATAAGCTAACTTTATAGGATTGTTAAATCCCAGCAGCTTTTGCAAGGCACAGTGATTGACAGTTTCGACGATTTCTGCCTGAAAATACTTTATGGAATCTAAAAATTCATTGAAGCAATATCATGTCTGTGTGAATGCGGTGCCCGGATAATTATATTCCTGAGCTACAAAAGACAAGAAGCTAAATCAACCAATGTGCAGATTTTTTTTTTGTAAATTTTCGCTATGCAGCTGATAGCCCTGCCAACTTCTTTTGCCATTCCGCCTTTGTCAATCCGCTTTTCATTACTCTCGTTACAGCATTTGTATTCTCCTTAAGTAGCTTGTGTCAAATCAGCTTGTGTCAAATCATAGTCATTCTATTTAACCGTCACATGTACCTTATTATTTGCAAAAATTGTTAAAACCGCATTGGTGCGAACGTGCCTGATTCAAATCGAGAAGCGAAAAAGCTCAGGAGCTGGCAAATTAAAAAGTTTTGTCCTCGGCTGTAAATGCGAATCCACAAACGTAAGATCAACCTCAGGCTATTTTCACCCTTACAAGAAGAATCGTGGTAGGTCCCGCTCTAAATACCAGCGTCTTGCCAAATCGATTGCGGTTTGCTTGCCGCACGATATGCATAAAACACTTGACGAAGGGTGAAAAGCGACTGCGCAAAGAACTTCTGCAAGTTTGTCTCACTCATCTGCTACTACTGTGAGCTCGTACAACATATCGCAAAAACGCATAATTATTTAATTCGAGTCATCTTCAGAACGCGCCACTTTCTTTTTTTATAAGCTGTTACTTTTATCCGTAGCACAGAGAGCTCATTATGTGTCTG